ACGTTAAGTGAAATATATATATATATCAGTTTTGAATAATAAAATTGATAGATTAATGACATACACAAAACTGATACATAATCAACCAATCAAATCTCGGATTTGTAGCGCACCTTAAATAAGTTTCTTATCTAGATAAATATGAACAAATCTTAGATAGCAGATTGGTTTTAACTTTCAAATTTACCATTTTAGGTAAACAGTTTTAATTTAATTTAAAATTAAATCTAAAAATTGGATTTCTTAAGTGGTTCTAAATTCACACTAATATTATTGCAATATATTGCCGTATTAAGCTTTCCATTTTTAGTCATTTAAGTTATTTTAAGGTTATTTAACTTTCTTACAAAGTCCATACTTTAATACTAGAAACGTTTAAATATTTATTCTGTTTTCTAGTTACTCTACCTGATGTACTTTGGCATGCATTTAATTTCTAATACACATTTAATTAATAAATTGATAATCATGAGCATGCAGAATTTTCGTAATAAACAAACAAAATTCGAACTCCCTTATATCCATATCTTGGGATTTTGAATTCTCTTTTTATCCATTCCTTTTTCACATATTATTGCACTGTATTCAAGTTTTCATGTATATAGAATTTATATATTTTGTATTGTATTTATGCCAAATTATATATAAATGATAATTTTTACAAATTCTTGCATCATAACTAGTTAAGAGAAGATATTTTTAACACCTTGGTAAAGCTTAATCTTCAGCATGAGCTTATTTTATAACCTAGTTTCAGGCTGAATTATTTGTAAAATTAATTATTTGAAATTATTTGTTAATAAAGATAGTCGCTAAATCACGCTAATAATATTTCTAACTGTTGTAATTTATAATGCAACAAGTTCATGTGATTTATAATAGAATTCATTTATAATTTTTTCAGCAGTATTGAAATTAATAGCAGATATTGATAATGTTATACATTTAGATCACAATGATTTAGATTGGCATTGCCTTCTTCGCTGATGCTTTTATGCTACATTCCTAATATTTCATAATGGCATATAGATAAGTTTAACTCATTCACCAAACATGTAAATCTCTAATTCAGCCCACTTTTGTTCTTACGTGTGCTATATCTTCTATTTTCTTTAATATATTGTTCAGCCTAATTTTAAAAGGTCTTATGATCAAGCGGAAAAGTCACTAAACATTGGTAGTTCGACCTGAGTTCGTAAAAAATTTCAATTCATGAAGCAAAAATATTTTTAAAATTTATTTTTTAAAAATATTGCAAAAATTTTCGCTTTTACCTTAGCATATCTTTTTACAAATCCCTTTAATAAGAAAAAATAAGGAAAGAAATTAACTCAGATTCGATGATCCTCGATCCAAATTATATGTAACCTTTTCAAAAGCATAGAGTTTATATGCATATAAATAAATTAAGGATTATTTCTCCATCTAATTTTCTTAACATGTTTATTCCAGAATTTTCTTTTCACACTGTAGCGCTTGATTTTATGAGTTTTCTATAATCATTCAATTTCTGTAGCTATGGTAACTTTGCACACCTTCTGACAAGTAGTTATATTTTTAACCACTATATTTTAATTCCTGTTGACTATCAGTATATTATTCACTTGTTTCACAAGTGTAAATTTTTATTGTACGCAAATCTACGTAAAATAGCAATAAAACTTCAGTTATGCGGAGCTCCTGATCGATTGCTTGTTTCAGATTGAATGAAATTAAGCTTAATGGTACTCTTAATTAGCTTGTTATTAATTTAATTGTACGTTTCTAATTAATTATATATTCAGATATTTTCAAGTATATTACACAAACGTTTGCATCCCAATTTTTAGTTTTTGGTTAAAAAAAAAAAAAAGCTCTTATTTATTGGGAGGCCTGATTGATTATATAATCTGCAGTACTGTTTATCTAATTCTTTTCTTCTAGATAAATTTTAGAAAAAACTTCTTAGCATAATAATTTTAATTTATTTACAATTTATACGTCAGTGTTCCAAACGCATAGTAATGTTATAATAGATTTCATGCTAAGCTTTTTTTAAAATTTAACTATAAATTTCTGCAAACATTTATATGATTACTTTAATTAACAAAAATATTTCTAGAGCACTTTGATGATCTTTTTCACGCCAGTGAACTGTATTAAATTTTCCAGTCTAGTTCAGACATCTTGACTATTATTGATGAAAATTAATAAAAAATATAATTGATATACTGCATAATTATTTAATTTATGATATTATTATAATACTTTTTACTCTAATATTGTAATTAATGAAAGATGTTTGTAATGCTAATATGTATGTTTACCAATACCTTTTATTTTCTTTTGTTAGCTCTCGCATTTATTACTATTATTCAAGTAATTAGTTTGCTTGTTAGATATTTTTACTTGTTCTTCTGATTGTTGATATGTAATTCAATTTCTTTATTTTTATTTTCATCTTGGCTACAATTGGCTTCGAAAAGTTAAGTTGTAACCCTGTAGGCAACAGGCGGAAAGAAATTTTGATTCGCGCAGTTAGACTATAGCAGGACGGGGGAGGATTTTCATTCGCGCAGTTGGAGCCCACCCATATTTACAATACTTCTTCTAATAGGGTAATTTGTTTTTATTACCCTACATATATTATTAACTAGAAAGCCCGACAATCATACTAAATCAACGCTGTTCTAGATATTATAAATTGTAATTAAAATGATTTGTGCAAATGTATCTTCTAATTCAAACTGAATTACCCAGGACAGGGCGTGAGGTAGCTCCTTTGCTTACTGCCCCACAGGGTTTTCCCCTTCTACTTGCTTAATTGCTTAAAGTAGAGTGCAATGAAGGAAACCACTGGCGGTACATTTCTTAAGAGCCACCGCTAGCTCAATAAATAAAGGTGATTTAAATAATGAAATATTAATTTACATGTCAAAGATCTCTTTGTACACAACATTTCTTGTGTAGATCTTTCCATCATTTTTAAGCTTGCCTTGCAGAGGACCATCCATTATTTTTAATTTTACGTCCGTTCTTTCACGAACTCTTGAACAGGCAGCATAAAGTTGACCGTGTTCAAATGCAGGCTCAGGTAAAAAAATGCTAACACGCTTAAGCGTTTGGCCCGGAGACATATTGATGGTCATAGCAAAGGCAAGTTTTACAGGAAATTGTCTACGTCTCAATTGAAACGGCAACCCTGTGCAGTGGCAACTTCACCGTATTGGCTAGTACAGTTACGCAAGCAACCAATAAACTATTGGCGAGAAACAGACACTTAAGCCGCATATATATATGGGGTGAAGTCATCATCTCCTCCGAAACGGCTGGCTCTCGGGCTCAGCAAAGCACGCCGTTGGATTCCGCAGGTCCGTGGCACGCCATTTTGACCATTCGCGTCTTCTTGAGACTTTAATTAACCGAGATATTAATTAAAAACTAATTTTCCCCTACGTTTTCCCTACATTTTCCACTTTCTTTCTTGGGTTTTCCCTATTACAGGGATTTGGCTACGTGACAAATTCCTTTTTCTCGAATATCTACGGAACGGTGCCGAGTTGAAATTCGAGACGCGTATCCTCGGATTCCAAAAAATTCTTCGAATCCATCGATACCGTTCTCATCTTCGTACGACTTTAATTCGCCGAGATATTGATTAAAAACTGAGGAAACTTTAATTTTAGCGCTCATTTTTCCGAGTGGCAACAATAAACTATCGGCGACACCCACTTTAGCCGCTTATATATATATAAAGATTACGAGGATAAATTTCAACTTTCTGCAAACTTTTCCAACCTCTATAATGCGTTCTTGCTTTCCGAATAAAGCTTATATTTTGAAATTTATTTTATCAAATAATGCTATGCATTATCAGGATGTATCGATGTTTCAACTAATATGCTAATTTTGTTTTAGTTAGGAATAATTATGGGCTCTAAGTCTAGAAATGGAATATGGCTGGGTATCACTTTAAATGTCTGAACCACTTTTCAAATTGTTGCCACGAAATATTATCGTTCTGTATAATTTTTAAAGAAATTAAGCAATGAAGAATCTGCATGAGTGTATGTATGTTTCACGTACTGTGAAAAAAACACGCTACCTAGGAGCATCCAATTTTGAATAACGTAGTCCTCCACCCGAACATGTGCATCTGGAAGCCCGAATTTTGAATCTCGAATTTTATATTTCATATTTTGTAAAGCTTTCATGAATTTTTAACAAACTCGACGATTTGAAAGCGAAGAGTAGGAACACTGTATGGAGTAAAACATTGTTATCTCCGCTGCACGAGACTGTATTAAAATTCAAATGATTCGTAAGTTGTAAAAATATGCTGTTTTTAATATTTTGTGATTTTGCTATTCAACGGAATTTTATATGGCGTAAGTGCGAAGAACACGATATTTAATTAATAAATTTTACTCACAAAGCGTTAATAATAAAGACAAAAAAGTTTTTGCAAGCCATCTTACTAAGAAAATTCAGATAAACTCAGAAATATATATCAGATATGATAAACTCAGAAAATTAAAAAAAAAAAAAAAAAAAAAAAAAAAAAGGAAAATATATGCCAATACCTAATACTTCATACGCAATTCTAAACACATGTTACTTTTAAAATTGTTATAATTTCGCTGTTGAGTTATATATGATGTAAGGGCGAAGAAAATTATGCTTAATAATAAAGCTAAAAAGACAAAAAGAAATGTTAGCAGGAGTGAGTGGAAACAGCAGACGGGCAGACTACGAGCTCAACGAAATCGTAGAAAAACCTAAACAAACCCTTTTGGGCGACCTTTAAAATCTGAGCCTTTTTAGATTTTTTTTAGTTAATAATTAAGTTAGAGATAATTTTCGTTAAATTCTAGTATTTGCTATTTTTGCCGTTACTATTTCAAATGCTGAAGTGATGGAAACAAAACTCTACATCCTTACATTTCAAAACATCACAAATCTTAATCATCCTATTTAAAGTTATACATTTTTATTGCAATATTCTGTTATTTCTGTTTCAGGATTAAGAAAGGATTTCTTGAAGGATTTTTGCTAAGTTTTAATGAGTAGCATTACGGATAATTAATTTCTGGCAACTTAATGGCATTGGAAACGAACGAAACAACGATGCGGCTTTCAGATGTCGAAATGAACAGTATGGAGGTTTGCAAGGCTTCTAAACAAAGAAAATCTTCTACTATAAAAGGCTTGCTAGAAAAAAAAAAGCAAGTTGGCCACACCATTAAATGGTAACTATAAATGTATTCTTATGAGCTTCATTTAATATTAATAATTTAAATGAAGTATTTGCTGCTATAAAGCTCTGTTACCTGCATCTGCTATTTGTATTTCCAATTTAGACACTGTGCAAGTGGAAATTTCTTTAGTTAAAAGAATAATTCAATAGCTTTCACACTTAAAGTTCTCTCTGAACATACTTGTTCTTGTGAAGTTGCACAGCTCTTTTCCTTCCTGCTCAAAAAGTTGATAGCAGCACATAGACATATAAATGTTTAAAATTAAACAAAAAAAGCAATCTGTTGCGTAGGTTTTGAATAAAACTTTTGATTTCAAGGGTATACCGACATAGATCCCTCTGCTTCAGAAGCAAAATTTTGCGAAGATAGGAGCATCAACAGTAATTTTTATAACAAAATCAATGGCCAATCAGGAAATAAATATCGCGCCATCTGTCAAGGAATCTTAGATATCACATTAGTGATATCTGAGACCTGTGATGGGACATTTTAAAGCTTCCATGATGAATCAATAAATGCACAACTATATTTCTCATCGTACAGCTAGGAATAAAATTGAAGTTATTACTTCGTAGTATCATATGTATTTCAAATCAAGTGCGGTCTTTAGTAACAAGGCAGTGTCAAAAGAAATTTCACACAGAGCTTCTTTTTATAGTATCCTGCAAAAATGGGTAAATATCCGAACTAAATTGAAAAATCAGTGCATTGATCGTAATTTACTTTAACGTAAAACATCTTTGACTGAGGATTATACAGCTTTTACTTTATCTGTTATTCTTCTGTTAAATCGATGCTTTTCATAACATATACCAAAGGTTTAAATCTAAAATTGTGGTATTATTGTGATTATTCACTTGGTAGCAGATTTAATTTATGTATAGTAACAATTAGTGTCTATCATTTATCTATATAATAATTTGTTTTGTTTAGTAGCCTGTAACAGTATTAAATGTATGTGTCGTGTAAGTTAGTCTTTATCATTTTTCTGCATAATAATACGTACAGTTTATTTACCTGTACAGTATTAAATTTTTGAATTGGGATGGTAGAAGTTTTGAAGTACATGCCCAGTAAAGCGTAAATATTATTTAGTAATATAGGGCACATATACATGTACCAAATAAAGGATTTCAGTCTTATTAATAATCACAAATATTCTACAGTATTTCTAGTAACATTTATTTTGTCAACTTGCGTTTCAACTAGTTTCAAACTTTTTTCCTATTGTTTAATTGAAAACAAGTCATGCACTCACAACAGTCCTAACTTTATATATAGTATCAGCTGGTCTTTATCATTTTTCCATATAATAATATGTTTTATTGATTTGATTGCAACAGTGCTAATGTACGTATTGCATCAGGTAGCCTTTTTAATTCATTTGCATAATAATGAGTACTGTTTACTTGCTTGTACAGTATATTGTTTGTGAAAAAATAGTATTAATCGTACTATATATATGTAGAAAAAAAAAAAAAATACGATGGCTTTGCTCTACGCGAACACGCAACCTTTAATTAACTTTCTGCAATTCAGGATCTTTTTCTCTAGACCAGTACCTTCCAGAACATTCGCGCCTATTACATAACCGCTACTATAAATAACGAATGCGCGCCATTTTGCGTCAGAAGCTTTCCTCCCCGTCTGTGCCTTTAGGGTCTACGCTACTGCTCCCATGCTTCTCTTTGCCTCTACGAATAGCAGTTATGATGCATTAACGTTTAAATACTCTTATTAGCAACGAATAGAAAAGGTAACGAAAAGGAAATCTGCTTCTGAAGCTATGGAATAAATATTTGTAATTAAAAGCTAAATCATCGTGTCTCGTCATTACCAATTTGCAAAAACTATGCCTGAACTTTGATGCCAAGCTTCATCACGACTGCCGAAATATCACACACACACACACACACACACACACATATATATATATATATATACATATTCTTTTTAGTCTTTTTCGTTGTGTTTTTCCCCTTATATTTATTTTTTAATATTAGTTTATCACTATTTTTTTTTTTAAATTTTATTATCGTATAATTTTTTTTTCTCTCCCAAATGCTAAACGTCGAAATATGCTAAACGCACAGAGTAACAAGAAAATTAGTTTGAATAATGTAAGAACCTAGTGAAATACGAACTTGTGCACTATGTAATATTTTATGTAACATAACAAACAGTACGAAACTTGGTAATGTTTGAAGCTGTTTCAGTAAATGCGTGTCTGTTGATCTTTTTTTTTTTTTTTTTTTCTTTGTTGGAATGATATTAGTTCGTTTGGCACCCCACCCTTACGTAGGATATCATCTCGACGACGAGAGGTAACTAACAAGAAGAAGTTATCTGAAATTATTCGTAGTTACAGAGTATGTTTGTAATTCGGTGTATGTTCATAGTTTTAGTGTAGTGCCATAAATGTAAAAGCTCTTAAGGCCGAAGAGGACGCACAAAGATAGGGATGACTACAATCCCTTCGTATAGTGTCTTTGAATGAGCTGGAGGTAACACGTCAGTATACAATCCGACACTGAGCGCATCGTATACCAGACTTGTAACTAGCAGAAGAGGCAAAAGAATATGATTAAATTACTATTTTATTAAGTTACCTTTATAGAGTATACACTGATAAAAGAATCGACATGGGGTAAGATCGGCATCGGTATACAATCGACTTAACAAAGAAGTCCGCAAGGCTTGTAATTAGCAACGCTGAATAAATAAATAACTTTAGGCAATTGCATTCAGCATAAATTGACACTAGAATAGAATCGACATTAGCATAGAATCGGAAACAAATTCTTGAGCTCCTGCGTCGATCTTGTGACAGGAGATCTATCGATCCTATGCAGTGATAATTCTGTGTCACATTTCCCGAAAATCTACATCCATAGCGACAATAGCTTCATAGGGGAAGGGGCATCTGTTTGAAGAAGAAGAATCGAAGCTTAGAAATGTAAATATCAGAAACGGAATGAAATAGTTTGATGTCGAAGACTAAAAATGTCGTTGAATTGTTGTTGGTATCATCTACATCACCATCTGTATCTGTAAAAGCCCTGAATGGCTTCTAAAAGATCCATATTTTAATCACATCTATTGTAAATGGTCTCCTTCATAGATTAATTAAAGCAATGTAGGTAAAAATTACCTGTTTCCATTTGTTGAATGATCTAATGTTTCCTGGCATTCATTACAAAGAGTTTTAAGGAATAAAGATATAATAAAGAATTTTTCGACTAATGAATGACTAACTTATACTATCAAAAATCTAGGTATTTTTAAGTGAGATTTCTTGAAAAATTCACTGTGCTCCTCAATGATAATCCAATCCGTCTTTTCACTTTACCGAACTGATACACTGATCATTTCATCGCAAAAGTACTTGGAAGGCATGCCTTTTCCCATTTACATGCTTCTCCACATCTAACGGCGAATGATGGTAGTCAACCAATCCAAGCTGATGCCGAGTTTTCGTCTCCCACTTTTTAGTTCAGTACTACTGGAGAGACATTAGAAGTTGTAAATCAAAATGCCCTTACTAGAAGTCGAACATGGTATCGCCATTAAACGACATGGTATGCAAATCATTGCAATAAATAAGCTGTAAGTTCATACATTCAAGCAAATCTAGCGCCAAACAAGTGGAATAACTGGATCAACCACCCATCTGGAAGCTCGTCTTTTTCTCCCTGTGGGCCAAATTTATATTTACTCTAAAGCTGCTATAAGACTGGAAAACCATTCCCCAGATTATTCCATAAGGTCATTTTTCGAGGAATGTTTGCTTCCAGTAATTTTACGTAGTTATGCTATATAGCTGTATCCCGTGATCCTTCCTTACTTTTGAATAGTGTATCTATGCGAAACACAACGTCAAATGAAACTTCTTCGCCATCTTATTAAAATATTATGGTTATTAAAATATTGTGCTCTGCAGGTATTTTAATAATATATTTATATTATTAAAATACTTCCAGTTCAAACTCTTTTTGGGGAACATAATTCTAATTTTGGGGAACACAATATATAAGAGTTGCCGACTGCCTTGTTTTTTATGGGTGTGAAGTCAACTAATGAACGAAAATTTAAAAAAAAAAATATTTTTTTCTGCTTTGTTATTTTATTTCACCAAAAATTCTGTAGCTTAAAGAAATATTTTTATTTCGCTAAACAAAGTAGGAACAAAATTAATTATGATTAATGATTTTTAATAATTAACCCAGGTAGCACGTCTTCAAAAATATACGTATAATTTTGGTGAAATAAGGGTATGGAATTTTTTGCACGTTACTTTTACGAAATTTATACGAATGAAAAAGGCTGAAGTTACTGTTGACTCTTGATCGTTATTTTCCTCACGTTATTTTTACGAAAATTATACGAATCCGAATGTACTGAAAAAAAAAAAAAAAAATTACCGTCATAATGGTATATTTTATTCGTCACTTTTACGCATATTATACGAATCCGAATGTTCTGAAAGTAACTACTGCCTTTATGGTATATTTCATTCGTCACTTTTACGGATATTATACGAAGTCTAAAGAGACTGAAAATTAAGTTTATTAATTCAAAATATTTAGTGTATTTGTGACATTTCACTTTGTTTTCCTTTTCCACGAACATGAAAAAATGGGCATTCATATATGAGGCTAAAAGTTTTCTATGAATTTTAACATGTGAGCTAAATCTTTACGTGCATTTTTGCAAAAAATTATATTTTCTTAATTTAAAGATCTTCAAAATAACTTATTTATTTTCTTATTTGTTATTTTTATTCATATCAACACTTACATTAATTTACACAATTTAATTTCTTATATGAAAATCCTATTACCCATTTAACTGGAATAAGCTGTATATTAAATTTGTGTACTTACCGAGTTTGGTACAGTACTCGCCTTATTTTATTTAGCAAATGTGGGTAATTAAATTGGAATAAGACTAGCAAATCTTTCATGTCGAGGAATAGAATAATAAATAGAGGAGAAGATGCTGGAAAATGTTTAACTTCTTGAACAATAGTTTAATGTAGACCAAAGGATCATTAATTATAATCAAAGATATACTAATATTTTTATTTAATAATAAATAATTTTTTCCCAGATGAGAAAGCATGAGAAAATTGAAAATTTGCCAATAACATGATTTATGTAATCTACTTTACTTATTGAAAAACTGTCGTTCATAAAATATTTTATTGGCAGGCTAAAAGACAATTATTGTCCTTGTCCCGATGTTTGCCTGCCGAGAGAAATAGTTTATGACCATTACTTGGAATACTGCAAAGGCAAAAACATTGTACCGACCTGCAAAGCAACATTCGGCAAAGTAAGTTCTTATTACCGTACTTATTACCGTACTTCTTCACTTCTAAGACTTCACCGACTCTTTAATTTCAGTATCCCGAACAAAACACATCTAACAAATATGTATTTTCGATAACCGATTTCGATTTATTAATTACAATAATATACAAATTGAAATTAGTAATTCCAAAATTCTTTGGAATAACTAGTAATTTGGAAAAAACATCTGTGATTCCAAGGAAACACCAAGATTTTTAACACAAACGCTATTTTTTGAGAAATTTACATTGGATAAAAAAGTTTGGAATGGAAAAAATACATGGTAAAAAACATTTTATATCTTTTAAAAATATTAATTCTATTTATATTAACTCAAAAATTGTGTTAAAAAATTAGAAACTTTTCTCTATTTGTGATATCAATATTTCTTTGTTAAGAATGAACAAAAATCACAATAGGTAACTTAACACTTTGTAATGTACATTAATTGAGCAATCAAATTCTACTATTAAACGTATAGAAGAAAAATCTTTTTATCACATTAAACACTGGTTATTAAAATAGTTATTTTAAAATTTGAATGAAATATTTTTCGTTAGATCCAGTTTTAATCGTAAAGCACGTTTCCGAAGCGTTAAAAATATTTTGCAGCATAACAGAATAAACATATTTTTCAGCTATGTTTTTCTCCTAATTTAGGGAGATATTTAGATTTGATCATATTTTTTTAAAAAAAGAAACATTGGACACATTTTCTTCTTCTTTTGTTGCTACTTCTTATTGGTAACCAATATATTAATTAGTTTGAAAGACTGTTAGACAATATATTAATTAGTTTGAAAGAAGAAATATATATAAAGAATATATATTTAAAAAATGTTCACAAATATATAAGAATATTTCTAAATGCTATTTGGTAAGCTTCTCTTATTTCATATGATACTGATATTTCGTTTAATTTCAGCTCATACGCAACACTTTCCCAGATGTCACCTCCAAACGATTAGGAGCTCGTGGCCATTCAAAGTAAGTATAATTAAAATCTGTCACAACAGTCGCAAAACAATATTATTCACCAACATATCCTATTTAGCTTTTCGTGAGTTATGCTGTTTGAAATATACTGGAAGTGTAATGCATGAAGCTGTATTTGCACAGAATTTTCGAGATTATATGGTCAGAATTCAGTTATTGAATAAATGTATACTGCGAAAAAAAAAGGGGAGGACAGTTCTGTATCTCCCATTCTACTGGGCCGACTGACAAAATTCAAATTGCGTTTTTCATGTCTCGAAAGCTCGACTTAGGATATATATTAGATTTATATATAGCATTGTTCTAACTTAGGTATTTTGACACAAAATCGGACTTTTTCTGAAATAACAGGCAAATTGTTTTATAGATTTTGATTCTACGACTGAAATTATGCCTAGATATTTAATTTTGTAAAATTTCGTGTGAAATTTACGAAGAAATTCAAAAATTTAGCTTGGCGCAATTTTTTCATTTTTCGCCGAGAATAATTCACTTGGCGAACTTCTTAATATATGGCAGCCTATTTTCCTTTCCCTCCCATTATGCCGGAGCGGAAAAAAGGCACCTCGTTCCCACCCATTGTGCATGACGGGAAAAAAGTCACGTCGTTCCACTTTCAAATAATACTAACAAAGTATCTAAACCACCTTTGATGTTTTATCGCTTTCAACAAATATACCAAATTTCAAAAGGCGCCAATATATAAATTCACGTATATCTTCGAAAATTTTGATGTAAGTCTACTTTAAGATGATGATAAAAATTTTATAGTTTATAATTCAAAAATTTTTTGAAAAATTTATAAAAGTTATTTAAAATACAAAATTTAAAAATAAATCATAAAAAATGCGTGAATTTTATTGGAATGAATCTGAATTTCGAAATGTGAAAAAAGAAGAACAGAATAAGTTTAATAAAAAAGAAAGATTAATAGATATACTAAACTCAATTAACATTTAGGAGCTAAAATTTTGAGAGCTAATTTTTTAAAAACTACCCTTACGATTTTTACAAACCTTTTGGCAGTTTGGCATAATTTGAGTCGTAGAATCGACTCAAATTATGCCAAACTGGAAAAAAATTGGCATGCTATTTCAGAAAAAGTCCGACTTTGTGTCAAAATACCTATATTAGAATAATGCTATATGTAAATATAATACATAACCTAAGTCGCGCTTTCCAGACATGAAAAACGCAATCTGAATTTCGTCAATCGGCCCACTAGAACGAGAGATATAGAACTGTCCCCCCCTCTTTTTTTTGTTTTTGCGCAGTGTATATAAATAATTTAGATTAAATTCAAATAGCCCGAGTTACTAAAAAAGAATTCTTCAAAACGTTGTTTTAATACACAGAAGAAAAAAAAATTCCTTCGTTTCTCAAATACAATTTATAGCAGCATTGAAGAAATATTTCAAGCAAAATTTAAATACGGGTGAAGGATTCGAAACAGGCTAAAACATTTTTTCCCAAATTCTTTTTTGTCATTTCCCACCAACCTTTCTAATATTCTGATGCCTGTCACTAACGTATACATAATTTTTTATAGTCAAAAATTGAATGAAGCCTAAATGACAACTTGCTGAAGACACGGAACTTAGGTTTTAAAAAGAAATCGTCAAGAAACTGTTAAGAAAAAGCAGTATGTTAATTTTAAAAACATATAATAGAATAGTAGAATAGTTTATTAAAATTCTATTTGTAGAGTTTAGTGTATTTTGCAATCATCCAAACTCTTGGTAGACGTTAAGCGAATTATCGATAAGTCTGAAGTAACAACTGATACTTGAGAAGGGTGTAAAAGATCTTTTATTTAAAAGTAATGAGAACAGAATTCGCTCTTTGTGCTTATAACTAAGTCAGCCACCTGTGGCGAGATAATATAAAGAAATAGTAGGTCAAATGTAGTATTTAATTTCAAGTAAGCTAGTTGCCGAAGGTTACACAAATCCATTTAACTCGAAGTTGGCTCAAAATTTAATCGACGTGGATATCAACTATCGGCAGTTATAATACAAAGCCGACAACTACAAATCTTTTCTTATCTAGCAGTCCTAGTAACGTGGCCTTGAAAGGCAGAACTCACCTTTCTTACAATCATAAACCTTACTTTAAGTACACGTGAACTAAATTTGTATTCTGCCGAAAAAACGGAAAGGAGAAGTGATCGTAAGTATCCAAAAGATAAAATAACTGTTTAATTAATATAAAGGGAAAAATAATTTGAATGAATGTCTTTTCTGGAGTATTTTAATTATAATTATTTAATAACGTCATGGTACAGTGTGAAGACACTTATAGATGAGTCTACTAAATTCAGTGAGACCTGGAGCATGAGGCTTGCTGAGATTTTATATTAGGCTCCAATTTAGTCAGCTTCAATCTCAAGTCTCTTCATTTACTGATAATCAAGTGAATTTCTTTTCTTCAGCAAATAATCATTTACGGCAGTAAATCCACTTTCAGCTAAATATGAAGATGGAAACGGTAACAACAGGTTTCTTGCAAAATTGCTTGAATTTGGATATTTAATTTCTGAATTTCTGCTTCGTCACAAAGTTATGCCATCCCTCCTTTTATATAGGGTACTCCATCAAGACTGCCCAAATTCTGCACAACCAGATCTCTCGCTTGGAATACATTAAAAATGCTTAAAAACTGTACTTGCACGACACATAGTTTCTGAAATAAATGCGAAAAAAATATGACGTCATATCCGGTATAAGGGAAATAAACTTTATTGGAAACATAAGCATGGATATTTGTGTTACGTTCACATAGGAAGATGTTTAAAATGTCTATCGGGCATATCGAGGCATGCATGCACGCTCTATGGAATGATATCAAGCCGTCGTTTGAATCGTATTTAAAAGCCCACAATTAGTAACTACCGGGAATCTTCGCATGGTGATAATGTATTCTGTTCTTTAATATTGTGACATGTACTTTTAACTTCAGTCAGTGTAATGGTAATGCTTGGAAGCTAACTGGAAAAAAAAGAAAAAAAAAAAAAAAAAAGAGTATATCGGTCGTTATCCATCGCGTTGTCCTTCCGATGCCAATGGTGAAAGAACGCACAGCGGGCTTATACCACCACAGGATGATGCAGGTTTCTTCTACCCATTTTCCACCACAGGACGGGTAGAAGAAACTTTCCGAATTCAGCACATGCGCACTAGCCAGAGAGCTGAAGGAGAGTAACTGTACTGCGCATAGGCTATTATGGTCAGAGAGGTTTATAACCATTTCGCTACGCAACCATACAATACATCCAGAAGCGACGCAATGACTTTTGTGAATGGCTATTGCATTAACATGAAGCCGATAACGTTTTCATTGCACATATTTTATGAATTGATGAAGCTTGCTTCAGACGTATATGTGGTCAGAATCCCATTTTAAGCAATTCGCCAGCAGAGACATCAGGTTCGCTGGTCTGTACATGTGTGGGCCGGCACACTAGGCAGTCGCATGATTGGACCATATCCTGTTGCCTGAACGACTCACGGTACATTCTTACTTGGTATTTCTCCGTGAACTATTAGCAAGCTTCTTAGATACATACCCTTAGCGGTAATATATGGCTTGAGGTTCCTGCCTGATGATGCTCCTGTACATTTCAGCTCTCATGGACATGATTGACTGGATATGGAATAACCAGGCCGCTAGATTGAACGTGGGTGTCCGGTTTTATCCCAGATCACAATCCCCAGATCTGACCTTTCCATTTCTTCCTGTGGGGATATCTGAAGGAACTAGTCTATCGAGACTTAGTTACTACAGAAAGTGACTCGGCTGCTCTTCTTCATACTGCGTATACTTTAATGGATACCACGCTGCTACAGTGGGCACAGTCAGCCATTCCACGGCGCTTGCTTGCATGCTTCGATATGCGCGATGGACATTTTGAATATCTTCCTATGTAAACATAATGTAAAAACTGATATTCATGTTTTCAGTAAAGTTCCCTTTTGGATAGGACGTGACGTCACAATTTTCTTTTGTATTTACTTCGAAAGCTATGGGTCGTACAGGTACAGTTCATTGGATATTTTTTATGTATTCCAAGCGAGGAATCTGGCTGTGCAGAGTTTGAGTGATCTTGATAGAACACCCTGTACTAAGTTAAGTTATAAGTGACTCAGCATTTTGCATTTACGAATTTACAATCTACAAAATTTGATGCATCATTTTTTTCATCTTGGTAAGAGATTTTAATTTCAGCTAAAGGGTTGTAGAGGTACTTGAATTAAAATCAATTAAAATCAAAACTGCTTGTAAATCAAATTATCAAATTTGCTTGTATCAAATTTGCTTGTAGAAATAGAACTTTGTTTGCTGCTGAGTTCTAGCATTCTCACTTTCTGTTTGCTGTTGAGTCTTAGCATAATTATTTTTAATTTGCTGTTGAGTCTTAGCATAATCACTTTCAGTTTGTTGTTGAGTCTTAACCTCCTCCAGTTGTCTCTCATCATCGCTTAGAATGCGAAACTTCTTTACTTGCATTTTATTTTTCTGTTCATATTCGTGAAACTTTCAAAAATAAGTCTAGAGCGAATGTTCTTTCATCATGCTCATTTGGAAATTAGTGATTGACCCAGATTTCCTGACTACGACATTTTCTCTGAATTTCTCGGTAATAAAATTAATAATGATTAGCGTTACAGAACCGTGTTACTCTTCAATATTACTATGAAGAATAGTTCGAGTATGGAGCCTAAGTCTGAAGAAAAGATGAAATAAATATGCTCCTTTTAGAAAATTGTCAGATAAAATGGCAGGAAATGAGGTTAAGGCAAAAGCCATTGTTTAATAAGGTTAGCAATAGCGACAGTTTCACTTCAACAGGCCCGTGCGACGAGAGAAGGGGAAGTATTTCTGAAGCAAAAGAGGCTTGGAGTCCTGGGGAAAAAAAAAAAAAAAAAAAAAAAAAAAAAAAAAAAAAAAAAAAAAAAAACCTCAGCTGACTGTTTCTTAAATTTTTTTTTCCAAGGACTATTTTGGAAAATGAGATCTCATGGGGAGTTTGATTAAAGGTTAGCAGTAGGACACTAGTTGTTCTCCATAGTTCTCCAATATATTTTAAATTTGGATCATTTGATTGACATATCCCCCCCCCACTTCTTGAAGAATGCTTTAAACAAATATGATTTGCAACTTCTTTAACAAACATTCAACCACCATACAGCCTTCACTAGATTCACCAGTATATGTTCTTCCTCTATTTGATAGAGATTAATATTAAAAAATAAGCATTTGTAATTTATTTCGATTATAAAGAAACTAAAAATTGAGGCAATCCAAAAGTACCTCCTTCAATAAGAAAATAAAATAATGTGACTTTTAATTTTTATAAATTTTGATACAAGAACAAATTTTGCGAGGTGCATATGGCCTTTTGTATTCTTACCCCCGGCTATGCCACTGATGTGCGAATTGCTTGGTAGGCAACAATAGACAACCACTTTGTTTTCGCATGTCATAAACAATCGCCCAATACAGTACACACTATTCCTTCACCATGAAACAAGCAGTACCCTCGGAGTAAAAGGTAAACTTTCAAATGGAGCTGTATAGAAAGTATAAAACTTTTAATGAACGCTTATTTCAGATTGACACATCAACAACCCTTCTTTTAATACAAGTTAAATTAGAGTAGGTGACTGGCTTTTAAACTCTGGACGAACTCATTTTCGAATCGCTCCTTTTAACAATCAAATTGGACCCTTCTGGGGTGTGGGACCCACCTTGGGAAACACCTTGGGAATTATCGAAACTGTGAAACGGGTAGAATCCTTCGGAAAGATCCGAAACTTTGTATTAACATATGCTGCCACTTCAAGTCAACAAACAATATCAATAGCATAAGAACAATATCAATAGCAAAGCACGTACAAATTTCAAATACAGGTTTGGTACAGATTCCAGATTATTGCAATGAACTTAGAAGGTCTAAGCTGCCTCTGATTGTTAGTACTCATCCATCTGTCTGTAAGTGAAAGAATTTTAGTCGGACTCTGCATAGAGTCTCGTTGCTGTCTGAGGTAGGTGGGTGACCGCTTCTACACTGACTACCAATAAGTATTTGGACACCTGTGATAGAAAAGAGAAAGGTGGTCGAATCAGAAGTGGGGTGCAAAATAATCGCGTTGCCAGAGTTGTCAGAAGTCACAAGAGTACACAACTTTACTTCGTCGCAAAAGAGTTCATCAGTGGCGAATTTAAGTAATTCAACTCTTTCAAATTTGAGAGCACTGGCTGGCTTCGCGGGCGCCATACTATCGTTCCTGCTATATTTTTAATGTTTCTTGTAGTCTTGCGTAGGATATTCTCCTTTATTTCTTCGAAGTAGACTACCTTTTGTGTAGCCTTTAGCCAAAGGATATGTATGTTAAAATTGATAGCTTCGCGAAAGCAGAAGTGGCTCCATCAGACAGTAGAGGAAAACGGAGGCTACACTGACTACCAATAAGTATTTGGACACCTGTGATAGAAAAGAAAAACTAACTTTATTCAAAATCAATAGTTGGTAGAGCCTCCACGAGAGGTAATTACAGCGTGGACCCTCCGGGGCATACTTTCCACAAGTCTTTGTTTGACAGCTAGTGGTATTTTCTTCCACTCGGCTTGAAGAAGACATAGAAGTTTTCTTCACCGATTTTTCACGGGTAGTGAACTCCTGAATTCGACGATGCAACTCGTCCCAGAGGTTCTCGATAGGGTTCAGGTCTGGACTCTGGGCAGGCAGTCCATTCGATGAACTCCATTGGCATCCTACCAAGCCTTGGTTAACGTCGGAGCATGACAACTGGCATTGTCGTCTTGAAAATAACAGGGGTCCAACCCGTAAAACTGCCACAACGTAGGAAGCACATTGTCACCCAAAATAGTGCAGTAGGCATCGGAGTTGAGCTTACCATGAATGGGGACCAAGGGTCCCAGCCCATACCAGGAGAAACAGCCCCAGACCATAATTCCACCTCCGCCAAACTTGACTGTTTGCACAATGTATTCTGGCAGGAGACGTTCTCCAGATAGACGCCAGACCCCAGACCCTGCCATCCGAACTGTAAAGGGTGAACCTTGATTCGTCACTCCAAAGAACAAGTTTCCACTTATCTACGGTCCAATTTCGATGTGCTTTGCACCACATTAACCGAGCAGCGCGGTTGGACTTTGTGATCAAAGGCTTATGGGCAGCAGCACGACCATGAAAACCAAGCAGATGTGTTTCCTTACGGATGGTATTCATTGAAACAATACTCCCGGATGCCTGTTGAAACTCCTCGCGGATGAGGGCCATCGGTTGGGTGCGGTTCTTCCGAATTTCTCTGCACAGCTCTCGTCGGTCTCTATCTCTCAGTTTCGTTGGTCTGCGGACTCGGGGCGCATTCCGACAATCATCGCTCACCTTCCACTTCTTAATCACATAGGCCACTGTCGATTTTGGGTACTTCAGATCGCTAGACAGTCCCTTAAGGATCGGCCACATTGTGATACCCGATAATTATACCTTTCTTGAAATCAGAGAGCTCCGAACTGCGAGGCATCTTGCATGCGACTAAAGCCGATGCTGTTTCCTACACGATATATACCGGCGGAGTCCGTGACGTACCTTAGGACCGAAGATATCGTCATTTGCATAGGTGTCCAAATACTTATTGGTAGTCAGTGTATAGTACCCCAACTCAGTTGTTGTCAGTTACTGCCGATAAATAATCGGCCCTTTAAACTGTAAATTCACTATTACGTTGTGATCTACCATAAGTGGTTAAAGAAAGTATTAAATTTTAAATGTATGCTTGTTGTAGTTGATTGTAGTCAGGGCGATAACTCTCTGACATTTGTTAAAGTAAATTTGTAAGCTGTTAGATGAAATTACTTAAAAACAGATTAAATACTACGATTTTAAATTCAGTTCATTTGTAGATCTGAAACACTTCAGCGTTATTTATTGCGTGTATTTTTGTTTTTCTTATGTAACTTCAGTTATCTCAAAACATCTTTTCTATTATCTTTCTTTAGATACCATTACAATGGTATTGGAATAAAACTAAACAGTGATTACAGCGTTATGTCCCAAGGAACTAAAGGTCTAACTCGGTAAGTTTGCTGTCCTTATATATTATAGTAAACAAAGCAAATAAGTTTCTTTACAAAATTTCGTGGGAGATAGTTCGGTATATCTGAGCCTGAAATAAATGCTCTCATTCATAAGCTACAAGAAATTAATAATAAAGATTCTTGATAATGCGATATAAAAGCTGTGATCGAACTCTATGTTCAGTAAGTTATCTTTGTTCATAGAAATCTGAGTGAAAGTGTCGTATACGTATTGATAACATTTTTGTTATCGAATGCCTCCTGAACTGATCAGATGTCAGTCATTCTGGACAATTTCCGGTGCATATGACAATTACATGTTTGCTTATAAATCCCATAAGGATGCTTTTCGAATCAGGTATTATCTTCAGAAGCACTTGTCGCGAAGATAAGAAACTTTTATCATTCTGCGAAATTAAAAATATTTCTTGGTCCCTTGCATACATTTATGACAAGCGTTTCATATTGTTAGGTATTTTCTTCCTTCTTTCTTACGTTACGGTACGGGTTCAAGCGGTTTGGAGTGAATAACGATGGCAGCATTTGAAGAAGTATCGAAACACTTATTAGCCAGTATTATTCAAGACAGATCCATAATCACGTTTACAGTCGTCGAAGAAATACTATAAACACGCTGAAACAATCAGCGTCACAGCCTTCAGACTATCAGGCTATAACGGTGGAGACAGCTTTACGGCAAAGCACCAGAATTCAGCTCCCGACTCTCCTCGGTAGTTCTTGGAACTCAACGTACTCTCAAGACTCTCCATGCTACAACTCGCGATGCACTCCACGATAGACTGAAGTACAACCCTAACTTGGTTCGGTCGTTCTAGGGGCTCAACACACTCAAAGATAAAACTCGACGATGCACTAACTCGCGAAACACTAAAAGACTCTCTCGATGCACTCGACGACTAGACTTCGAGACACTCGCTCACTGACTGACTCGCTAGACGAGACACTAACTCCGCACGAACTGACTTACTCTCCGCATACCAAGCAGGGTTTATATCCCAAGTAGTACATGACGTAGCAAAGACGTTGCGAAGTGGTCGTAGTAACGTCTTTGCTACGTCATCAAATAGCATATGACGTAGCAAAGACGTTGCAAACTGGTCGGAGAGGTTACAAAGTGGTCGTGGTAACGGCTTTGCTGCGTCATGTGCTACTTTTGGCTTGTGTTCGAGAACATTCTGGGCTAAACCAGTAAGAATTCGTTCCAGAAAGTTCTCCATCCGATTATGGCATATTACCAATTTTGTCCAAATGGGCGATTCCTCGCCAAACGTGGCAACCCTGAATTCCCATGCCATTTTCTGGTAACCCTAAACCTACTTTGCGGGAAAGCTATCTTACGGCGCCTGGACATTTCGTAACAATATTTTACGACGACGTTAATGACATCAAGTGATGAGTCTTGCAGTAATAAAGCCTTGAACCAAAATTCGAAACGCCAATTATTGATGGGAGTAATTTGTGAATTACGGAGTCCCTGAGAAACCATGAATCGGTAGAAAGTTAAGTTTTCTAAAAGCTAAGGGAAAAAAATAAACTAGTGAACATTATTTGTGATGTGCAATTGAGGTAAAACATCTTGGTAAACTCTGTAAAATCCTAGTGTTCTGCACTGAAAGTTGTTATGATACTTAGTTAGTGAAGGAAACATTAGGAGCCTTTAAAAGGAAATTTTTTTTGTCTCGAAGGTTAATTTGTAAAGCATTCTTAGTTCACATTTTTTACTTTGAATCTGTTTAAGAACGAGCTGTTTGAGGTGAGGTATTTTGAGAACATTTTTTAGATCCATCTTTCTCTTAATTTACAAGAATCGCAATGTTTTGAAATATCATTGTATTTCATCTTAAGAACAGCTGTTGAACATTATATGGTCCTTGAATTTTCACCATTTCCTCAGGGTACTAGAGCGGTAAGAAAAAGTCTTGGAGATAAATAAATTACTTTCGACATGTAAGTGTTCTATAATTTTTTGAAGTCATGAATAACTTAGGTAATTTTAACCCCGAATATTCTTGCCAGTGGTTGAGTGAAGTGACCGTTGAGACCGTTGAGCTGACCACTACACCACGAAGGCATGCTAAGAAGGCGTGAGAAATATCTTATATACGCCCCCTTTTAAAGGGCAAAGGGAGATTAGGGGACCGAAACACCAAACCCTGATGATGGAGAATCGTCATCCACTACCTTTTTTCACTCGACTAGGGTTCAAATCCCAGAGATCGGCTATGCGTGTGAGTTTTCGTGGTTTCCCTAATGTGTGTTATAAATGCAACCCAATTTATGTTAGAAAATCCTTCGCGAAGAAATCCCTACGCTTAGGCAAATAGTCTTAATGCGTTTTGTCATTATTCAAGTAATCCAGTCCAATCTAAGACCGAGTATTGACCAGTTTACACAGAAAAAAAAAGTATTATTATTTTTTTTATATTCATACATACAGTACATTCAGTGCACTAAAGTAATGATAAAACCTTTGCAACAGTGATTGTTACTATAGAAAACTGCTATTAGAAGATAGTGGATATCTCAAAACTATTTTAGGTGGATCGTGACTAGTCGGAAACTATTTTTTTCCCTGGTTTTTGGGATGTGAACTAGAAGGCCTTATCTTTGACAGGTGTGTGTAAATAAATTTCTTGTATTCTTTATCTTCACACAACACTTGAAAATATTCTAATAATCTCCTAAAATCTTAAAAGAGATAAGGTACGCACCTCTTGCTGAACGTGCTCTCAATCTATTCTTTCCCTTCGATCGTTCGTTTCTATACCGAGAGCTTGCTCAGGTGAAGTGGCATTCCTTCCAGAAGAATAAGAAAGAATAATAACAAAAAAGAAAGAAAACAATTATATTTCCTGAATTTTATCAAAATGTTTTTGCATATAACTTCCGTTATAATAAAATATCCGTTAATAAACACAAAAGGATGATCGAAAAGTTTCAGACTAAGTCTGTAAGGCGCGGCAGGTTATGTCCATTTGAAAATATTGTTGCGAACTTAAAAAGAATGAATTTTTTTGCTCATCTGTGAGCCTTCTGTAACTAAACACGTTTCCTTAAATCTGTGAAGCTTTGCTTAAAACGGTTCAAAATGACGTTTCTAGTAAGTTCTTTTTCATTGAGGCTTACTGGAATGGTGCCGAAACGGATAAAATTTATGGCCCATATCTTATTGGAAGACCATAAACTGCTTTACTGATAAGAATGGGCGGATATTGCTTCAAAACTACAAATAAAGATAACGTTCATTACATATTTTTAGAGATTTTACACTATGTTTATGGTTGATGCTTACATTTAATAATGACTGCTTTTTACTTTTGAATATCTATTATAAAGTCTTGTCCAAATTTCAAAACAAGTAGAAAATAATTCCGTCTCTTAGAAATATTTTTAGCTTTCAAAATCTGAAATTCAGGAGTTTGTATCTACCAGCGGCAATTCGTGTTATCAGATTGTATTATGGTAATTCAATTTATGGGACTGAAACATGAATTTAAAATCTGTCAACTCAACATCTCTGTATGCTTAGGTGAGGTGCAAGCACGGAGTATAAAGCATTATACTCCGTGGGTGCAAGTTATACTTAAAACGTTTTGCTACCGCCGCCCAGACGAGAAAATTGTTAGTGATTCCAGTTGCCGTATCGAAGGGCCCGGGTTCGAATCCTTTAGAAGACATGAATGTAAATTGTCTGTCCTTTCATAGGATGTAACGGTGGCTGCTTATTAAGTATCTCTATAATAAAATCACCACTGCATCTGACCTTAGAGTTGCCAAAGCCTGAAATGCTTAGTGTCAAACACATAAAAAAAAAAAAAAAAAAAAAAAAAAAAAAAAAAAAAAAAAAAAATCGCTATTTCTTTTTTACACAAGACTGTATATTTTTTGTATTACATAATATATTCTAAGTTTATGATTTAATAATTATTGTAGAAACATTAGAATTTTTTCGAAGCAGGAAAAATGAAAAATGAGCAATGCCCTCGCCGGACTAGAACCACGGACCTCTCGAACACGCGTACGGTGTAACGTGCTGACCACTACACCACGAAGGCATGCTAAGAAGGCGTGAGAAATATCTTATATACGCCCCCTTTTAAAGGGCTTCTTGGAGATTAGGGAACCCGAATTGCCAAATCCTGGATGATGAGAATCGTCATCCACTACCCTTTTTTCTTTTAGTTCGGGCGCCACTGTAGAGACATTAGGATTTTTTGGAAGCAGGTGAGATGAAAAACGAGCAGTGCCCTCGCCGGGAATCGAACCACGGACCTCTCGAATGCACGCCGAGCATGCTGACCCCTACACCACGAAGGCATGCTAAGAAGGCGGGAGAAATACCTTATATTATGACTTTCCAATTTATAGACTTAATGAGTTTTTTCATTGCTATGATGGTAGTGGAGCCGGCTGCTATCTTCCGAATAAGGCGGGTCATAGACCTGTTACATGCTTTGAGAACGGATTAAGATCCCAGAAAAGATATAGGTGTCTATAAGGGTCTTTGCGGCATGGAAGGGCTTAAAATATTGCCAAAAATTGAAAGTCCTCTCGAGAAGTTGGTGGACACGGAAGAGGAGTGCCCAGGTCCTCTAATCCTTATCCCGATGGTTTACCTCATTAATGTCCTGAATAGCGAAATCATCTTGTAACCATTTTTATCTTGCATGCGAATGTTCGACTGGTACGTGGAGCTTTCATTTGTGCTCATGGGATTTTTACAATATTGTTGTGTTTTTCTTTTCTGACACCAATTGTTACGTTTTTCTTTTCTTCCGACACGTTCGTACGGGGTTCGTAGATTTGGAGTGAATAATCACGACACTTGATGAAGTATCGAAACACATTTTATTGGCCAGTATTGTCAGGACAGCTCTGCAACAACACGTTTTTACAGTCGTCGATGAACTACTATAAACACGCTGGCAAGATCAGAGACACAGCCTCCAGGTTATCAGGCTGTCACGGTGGAGACGGCTTCACGGCAAAGCACTAGAGTACAGCTCGCGGAACTCCAAGTACTCTCGAGACTCTCTAAGTTACAACTCGCGATGCACTCGACGACATTCAGAGCAAGGCTCCCAACTCTTCGGTTCAGTCTTCCCGGAGCTCAACACGCTCTCTCGACGATGCACTAATCGCGATACACTAACAGTCTCCTTCGGTGCACTTGACGACCCACTCGGCACTCGCTGTCCGGCTGTCAACTCGATCGACTCCGCAGGGATTGACTCGCTAGACGAGACACACTTTCAATACTACTAACTGCAGACCAGCAGGGTTTATATATCTTTCGGCTTGTGTTCGAGAATATTCTGGGCTAAACCGGTAAGAATTTGTTCCAGAAGGTTCTCCATCCGTCCATGGCATATCACAATTTCTGTCGCCAAATGTCGCCAAATGGGCGATTTCTCGCCAAATGTGGCAACCCTGCCTTTCCTTTCTATTTTATGGCAACTATAAAACTGCTTTGTGGGGAAGCCATCTTACTGCGCCTTGACATTTCGTAACAATATTTATAGGAGTTTGTGTTCTTAGCGTTACGACAGTGCTCTATTAGTAATATCGATCAAACAAGATTTGTAACTGCTGGTTGAATTAATTTATATTAAACAACTGCAATTAGCACTATTTAACTGAAAAAAAGTATATATTATTATTATATTTAAAAAGATCTATGCAAAACTCTGAGCTATGTTAAAATGTATGCTTCCGTGGTTGCTGTAAACTTTGGCAGAATTGTTTTAAAATACCATCTGACCTGCTGGCTTCAGCTGAGCTTGACAGGTAGTAGATGGCTTCTTCCGGGATAACAGATAATTTCGAGACACTCGTCAAGTCTTAGAGTCGGTGGTCATCTTGAAGTATTTTCGGCGGATTTTCTTTTAGAATTGAGAAGTTGGATGAATCCATATTGTTACTTATAATAAAAGGATTTATTTTGAACAATAATTAAAATTTTAGATAACCTGCCTTATCGATTTTTTCCTTTCTGAGAAGGCCCACCAGCGGCCGAGCGGTAAAATCGCTGAACACTGATAGTTCGGTCTGAGGTTCGAATCCCGCGAACGGGCTGGCTGCATGGGCGTTTTCGTGGTTTTCCCCATGTGTAACGTGTATACGAGCCAGTTTCCCTTAGAAAGTCCTCCACGAACGCATCCCTCCTCTTAGGCAGATAGCCCTCGAGGCTTTGCCATAATCACACACACACACACACCTTTCTGAGAAACTTCATTAGCATTCTAATATTCCTCATACTAACGTGTTTTAGATTCCTTAATCACTGACAGATAGAAAACTTCATTTGCTGAATTGTTGTTGAATAAGAAAGGATTTCACAAATTAATTAACGTGCATTTTTAATGAGAAAATCTATATTAGTTTGGTATACCGGAAGATGAAGAAATTAATAAACAAAGAAGTGACCATTAATGTTGGTTAACTTGATTAAATTATTAGGAGCTTGTTTAGATACATCTCGAAGACTTAAATCACCTACATAATTAATGAAGTGCAGTTTTTACTTAATAACAAAATTTACGGAAAAAACATTATTTCGCATTTCAATAAAATTTAAACTTAGAAGCTTAAATTTCGATCTGTGGTATATGCTTTTTAATTTTCCATTTATTCCTTTCAGATTTTCAGGCAGCTCGAAAATCGAAGTAAGTACTGAAATATTTTCAGATACATTTAAAGTAATTACGTGTATTTATGTTTTAAAGTAAGAAAATCATATTACAACAATATCAGCCTGTTTTACTGAATTAACTTTTAATTTAAGCATTTAATTTTAATTTAATCTGAGTATTAATAAAAGACATACTTCAGACGAAAAATGTATCACAATTCTTATCCCAATCATGTAATGTAAAAATTTATATATGATATTAGTAATTTACACTCAAATCTGAATTTTCGTTTTAAAGATCTAACACTTTTTAATGCTCAGTTCTAAATAAAATTGAATATCTGTTCAAAATTATTTTCGTTTTTGTTCTTAAACATTATACTTAAAATTGTTGTATAATTTTTCACCCTAATGGTTGAGAAATATTGTAGATACTCTCAGAAAAGTTATTTTTGCTTTAAAAATCGCAAGTAAGTGTGTAATGTCATCTTTGGCTCGCTGAATACGACTGCAGTATGAAATTTTCTCAACGTATAAAAAATTGTTGCAATCTTCTGTTTGTACTGTCGTAATGTAAGTGGTAAGCATGGTCCAGTTAGAACTAGCATATCTATGGTACGAATCCCCTACCATGGATATTCTAGTTCACACAGAGGAACCATGGGTATTCGAGATTTCCCGTACCATGGATATTCTAGATGGCACAGCTGCTTTTTAACGTTTACTGATCTGAGAAGCCTAATGATCTCTGTTATTGTGATCAATCCTCCCGATATAAACATTAGTCTAGATTAGGTATATGAGTTCGGCGTGCTTATGAGAGAAAGAGTTGCATTTGTGACTGGCAAAGGCCTTGTGCATCTCATAGATGACAGTCTGCAATAATTCGTTAATAAAAATAGTTCGTGAAATTCACATCGAAATAATTCATTAAATTCGCATCAACTGTCTCGTTTTACAGACTGTCGAATTCTCTTGCCTAGTATTTTCTTTATTTATTATACAGAATGTTCTACTTATCTGCAGATTAACACTTTGAAGGCCAAGTATAATAGATATATTATCACTTATTAGTCCAAAGGGGCTTTGTGAAGGACTATTGTTTTCATTTTGCTATTTTGCGTTGGTTCACAATAAATGTCCGTTTCACTTTTCAAACTGTTGCCACCAAATGTTAGAGTCCTGCATTATATTTGAAGAAATTAAATAATGAAAAATCTGCACAAATGTATGTATATTTCTCACATCGTGATAAAAACAACGGTACATAGAGCATCGAATTTTGAATAACGTAATCCTCCAACGAATATGAGCATGTGGAAGACCAAATTTGAAATTTGGAATTTGTTTTATGATCGATTTCCTATTTTTTAAAACTTTGACGAATTTTTTGATTAACAAACTCAAGGATTTCAAAGCGAGCAATGGCAACGTTTGTGCAGGGGGAAAAAACATTTTTATCTCCAGCGCGTGAGTCTCTGTATCGGAAATTCTAAAGATATGCTCGTTTTAAAAACTATTTTGCGATATTGCTGTTGCACTGGATCTTATGGTTTAAGTGCGAAGAACGCGATATTTAATAAATAAAGGTAACAGACAAAATGTTAAAAAAACGCCCCTTTGGACGTAATTTAAAAACTTAAACCTTTCAGATTTTTTTTATTACTTTTTTTTTAAAGTTTTCTCTGTAAGTCTGCCTTATTCTCAAATCACTGTTTTCCAGAAATATGGAAATTCAGTTAATATTTAAGACGAGCGTCCAACCTGGACAGTGGGTAGCAACGCTGACTGCCGTACCAAAGGACCCGTGTTCAAATCCCGGAGAAGGCATGGGTGTTTGTAAATGTTTAACATCTGTGGGGCATGGGGACACTAAATATGCGGCGAGCTGAAAGTCCTCTCGAGAGGTTCGTTGTAGGGAAAGACAGGTGGGAGACCTTCGGACCCTTCCCCCAAAGTGCTCCGCCTCAAAATTGGTTGCGAAACTGAACAAAATCGTGCTGTAACTTATATGACGCTCAAGCTCTTGCCAACGCCGGGCGCAATCTTGACCCCTTGCCACGACGAATTTCGTGCAGTTGCTCTGATATTAGAGACTTGATCTGATGTTGCTGTCGTTCGGGTGGGATAAGCCACAAACAAACATTTAAGAGGATGCTGCGAGCTTTTCTTCTGCAAACTTTAGCAGTTTGCAGAAGAAAATTCTATTCGCAATTTATTAATTTATTCTAACGTCTACCATAAAGTGGAATCACTACATTAGATAAGCAGCTGAAAGAAATATGTTAGTGGAATGGTCGGGCAGTTGTTTTAATTCATAAACTTCCCAACCTTTCTTTTCTCACTGCTCAGGTTTTCCTTGCTCAGCGATTCCTCCGAATTTCATCTACCTTCTACAATCGCAACAATGTCCTTTGAATTTAGATACATTTTGGGTGGGATCTGTAAACTCTGACTGAATTCCCATTGAAATTTGTGGGCATTTATTGCACATGAACTACATCTAATAATTAATAAAAACTTATCGTATAATACGGAAACAGGATGGTAAAGTTTACATAATTTTCAAGGCATTTATAGTAAACAACTTGCCAAGTACAAGCAAAGTCCTACTATGGTACGTGCAGTGGAGTGTATAGAAAAAAAAAGTATATAATGTATACAGAAGAACATACTGCTTGCACATTCTTGAATGTCGTTATAAATATGCACTGATGGTGGGATTAGAATTTTAGATAAGTACACTGTAACTTGCATTCTTTGGTATAAGCAACTGAGCTTACATACTACCTGAACTAACACGTGTGAAAGATGGAATAACAAGATTTGGTATGATTCCTGTACAAAACCGAGTCTGTGGTATTTTATAATATTATGCAACCAAAAATATTATGCAACCAAGATTTTCAAGAGTGCACTTATTCCCATTTACTTCTCAATACCCCCTTACTATGCCTTGGATACAGTCTACTTTGCGTTGAGAAAAGCAGTTTGCACATTATCTTAATGCTATTTCGCTTGTCGTAGATTTATCTGCTCATTGCCACCGCAGCATATTTTGAATCGCTAACATTTTTTGGTTCAACTAAGAATAGCTGCAAACGTGTTTTTTCCTAGATTATTTCTGTTTATGTCTGCGTTGTTTTATACACCTTTATATCTTTAATGTATAACTTTTGTTAGGGTAATAAATTGTAAGCTGGGGTTTCGTTTATCTACTCTGTAGGGTTTATATTTATTTTAACTGACATTTATTTTAAGTTTAAACTATCTTTCCTGTCAAGCCTTACTTTCCCCTGGAACTGCCAATGCCAGAATATGTAAATTTGAGTAGAACGCGCAAGCATTCAAATTATCAGAGGAAGTAGTATGATTTAAATAGAAGGAAACAAGTTCGGTATGTGATATTCTTACTTAGCGAGCGCGGAGGTAGTTAACGAGAATTGAAGAACCCCGCGTTGCGGCCTATGTGCTTGGCGGGAAGTAGTGGTAATTGTTCCAGTGAGCTTCAAGTCTGCTGAATTAGCTGCGGCTTTTGTAAAACGCGGTGAGTTAGTTATTTTAGAGAGCCTCGTAGTTAGAATCTTGTCTTTACTTTCTTTTCAGGTTCTTATTTTTATTTGACGGCCTAGTGGGCACAGTCTGTAAGCGTCAAGAGGACGCCATTGTAATTTATTACGTTGAATAAAAAGGGACTTAAACCCTTTATAAGACTCTGTGGTTTATACAAGCTTTCACAGTCACCTCTTGGTTGCGTGCAAGTTAGAGGCGCGCAACGTTATAACTCAACAACAAGGAATTTAAAAAAAGGATCCGTTTGGCAATCCCGAGGTACCCTAGCCTTTCAGGGGATCATCTTCTTGGTAAGACGAGTGTCACGATCCTGGGGCCTTAATGATCTATCCTCTTTTCCGTCTCCTCTCCTCTGAGCTGAAACTTTTTCTCCATTCTCTCTCCCTTGTGGTTTTCCTCTTCGGAGGTGGGGCTCGTCACGAGAAACGGGAACAGCTCTTGTTTCTTGTTTTCGATTGGCGAGAAAACTGCCCACGTGTTTTGCCGTGGAGACCCGTGTCGCTCGATAGGAGGGTCCTGGTAGTTGAGGGGCGAGATACTATCCTCAACACCCTGCTTTGGCCTCTGCTTTAGCTAAACTGGAGGCACTTTAGTCGTCCTCACGGGTGTAAATCGGCTGGTCACCAGTTCTTGTGTCAGTGGCTTCGAGATAAGCTCTCGGGAGTTCCTGCTTTCGGGAAAGCCGACTGTGGGGCTTCAGTTTGCGTATAGGTCTGGCTAGTCCTAACACAGGAATCTGTGTTCCCTTGTTGGACTCCGTGGTGGTAGGGGCCGTTGGAACTGAATCTTTTCTTTCTTCAATATGGCCAACTCTCACATTTATCTAATTAAAGACTTCGAAATCAGTCAAGTCGCTCAAAGCTCTAGTTTTGAAAAATCTACTGCTAAAAAAGTACGTGCAGATGCAAATTCAAGTAATCCTAATAATTGTCCCCGTTCTTTGTTATCTCTAGTCCTTCTGGTGAGCTGCAAAAGATGTCTCCTTTTGTGATAAATAAATACATTCATTCCTGTATTGGTGAGCCCAGAAATATAAAGCGTCTCCGCTCTGGAGACTTGCTTGTTGATACAAATTCAGCCACCCAGTCTGCTTTTTTACTTCAAGTAACCAAACTTGGGCAAGCGAATGTCACTGTAACATTGATAAATAAAGATATATAAAACAAAACATAAATAAAACAAGACATTAAATTTTTGTCGCTGTGTAATCTTGGAAATCGACCTTCTGTGTGCTTCCGAAGAAGAGATCGCATCCGAGCTGTTTGGCCAAAATGTTTGTAGTACTAATCGGATCCAGAAGCTTTGTAAGGATCTTAAGTTTTACTAACGTTTATTTCATTTTAAATCTTTACTATTACTTCTTATTTTCTACTTCCGGCCAGAATTATAAGCGTTAAGGTTTTTATTCAAAGTTTGTCTGGCGAACGCCAAGTATTTGTGGCTTTTTGCCAAGCGAGACAG